AAGCAGAAGGAGAGTCTGAAAGAACACTGAATGTTACTGATGAAGAAGATGTACAAGAAGATGCTGAATCTCTTCCTATGCAACTCTTCCAAAGAACACCATCCTCTCATCAGGTAACCAATTTTCATTTCCATAGCTCTTCCACCCCTACCCTTCCGGATATTGTGCCGGAAATCTGGACAAAGAAGGTCCAAGGGCTGATTGAATCAGCCCTAGCATCTCAACATGCCTCCTTTAGGCAAGAGATAGAGCAAATGGAAGCCAAGTACACCAAGCTTATAGAGAAATCTGAAGAGAAGCACAACACTGATCTCAAAGAAATAAGCAAATCAGTGCACAAGACTCTGGAGATTATCTCTCTATTGAGTGAAACTGTGAGCAACACGATGGAAATATATGCCTCTGACAGTCAACTTCAACTCAAAGAAATCACCAACGTCAAGGAGCAAATAGCAAGTGTCACAGTTAGTCTTATATTCCTTCTCCAATACCACAGCTCCCCATTGCAGTCAAAGAAGGAGAAATATCTTATATTCCTTCTCATCTGAACATGACAAATCTAATCCTTGAAGCACAGCAAAGAAATCCGGAAAACTCAGCACAGCATCTATCCAGCTCAGACTGGATGGAACAGAATTTATAGGTACAGTTGTTGACCACTTCTCAAATGATGCTCAATCAGAAGAGAGACGTGAAAATTTAAGGCGCATCAAAGAACTGTGTGGGAACATGAAGGGCATCAGTGAGGTTGCCGGATCTTCAAAACGCAAGAGAAACTGAAGGTTCTTTTCATCAAACCAGGGGGAAAGTATGTGAAAAAAACTAATTTGCTTTGATGAAAACACCTTCCTGGTTAAACATTGCTTGATTGGTTTAAACATTTAAACATTGCTTCAACAATTCTCTTATTTGTGCTTATTATGCTTAATTATGCTTATCTCAAGTATGATTTTGATTTTGGGTTCTGAAGCGCATACATTCAGGGGGAACTTAACTAGTTTTGGCTAATAATTGTTTTTGGCTATGAATTATTGATGAGCTCTAAGCAATAGAAGACGGATATCTCAGTTTTGGTACTAAAATTGGAAATCTCCGATTCAGGTACTCTACAAAATCTGCCTTCTTAAACTAAGCTTTAATCCTTAATTCATTTCCAACTAGCTCTAAAAGTACTGGTCCTTAGAATTTTTATAATGTACAGGACTTTGGAAAAATAGTACCACTTTTCTTTTAAAAATAAAATTCATATTTGTTTTGGTACTACCTCGTCCTAAGTAGAAATTAGAACTATAGGGAATGAAAAATGATAGTTTTATTTTGGGCCTTGAGAACCCAATAGGAATAATTTCCCTTTAGTACATAGCTTTCTTTTCTTTTTGGGCCACTCTTTTGGGCTTAGCCAAACTAAAACAGTTACGTTTCTCAAACCAAACGAAACTGATTTTCTAATTGGAACAGTTTCAATTCNTACAAAATCTGCCTTCTTAAACTAAGCTTTAATCCTTAATTCATTTCCAACTAGCTCTAAAAGTACTGGTCCTTAGGATTTTTATAATGTACAGGACTTTGGAAAAATAGTACCACTTTTCTTTTAAAAATAAAATTCATATTTGTTTTGGTACTACCTCGTCCTAAGTAGAAATTAGAACTATAGGGAATGAAAAATGATAGTTTTATTTTGGGCCTTGAGAACCCAATAGGAATAATTTCCCTTTAGTACATAGCTTTCTTTTCTTTTTGGGCCACTCTTTTGGGCTTAGCCAAACTAAAACAGTCACGCTTCTCAAACCAAACGAAACTGATTTTCAAATTAGAACAGTTTCAATTCCTTGGAAATCGGTAAAAGATTCCTTCCACTTCCTTTACTCTCACCGTTCCAACTACTCTCTTAAAGGAACCCGTTAACCTCCTCCTCCCCTATTTAAATCAAGACATTCCAATCCATTTCCATCACAAACAACTCTCTCAATATGAAAGTCTTCAAATTCACTGTCTGAGAAAAACACCAAGAAAAATATCCTCAATGGAGAAATTTTTCTTTCTCACCCTCATAGACGGCAATGAAGAAAAGCCTAGTGAGAAGGAAAATAATCTAAAGTTTATGGTGCAATTCTCGGCAGTAAAGAAAGTTTATGGTGTAATTCTCGGATTTTTCAGGATTATACCATACACTTTCTCTGGAACAACACTCTCTCTATTTTCTTTCTTTTTATTTTTACCTTAATCTCTTTCCCCTCCCTCTCTCTCTTTTTCTAAACTTTATTTTTTTGAGCAGTCGCCACACTCTTCTTACAAGTTTTTTTTTTAAATTTTTTTTGTGCTGCCTCTGCTCCCTTCTCCCAAGCATTTTCTTTAATTTTTTTTTTCTTTCAAAATTTTTATTTTTCCCTTCATCTTTGAAAACCTTATTTTATCTTTTTCACAATCAATTCTCTTTTCCAAATTTCCTTTTTTCTTGTCTTTCTATTTTTTTGTTTTTGTTTTCTTCTTTTGTTTTTTGTTCTTGTTTTTGCTTTTTGAGAGATGTGTTGCTTCCTAGATCTTGGTTATCCACTTTGGATAATAAAGATCTATCAAACGCAACGCCAACCGCTCTGCCAAGCAGAATCTGCTGAAGCTGAAAACGGTCAATGGCGGAAGATATCACAAAATCTCAAGACAAGACTTGGTTTAGGAATTGTTGTAATTTGAATTGTATCTGTTTTTTTTAAATGCATTTTATTAAATAATTAAAGAATACAAACGTCTGAACAAGCGGGAACAGGCTCCTCACTTGTATAAAAAGTAAGCAACAACTAAAGAACTATAATGTGAAGCGCTTATCGGATATTGAACATAGACTTAAGTGCAATTACAAAGCCGGCTCAAAACATTCCACTTAGATCTAGGAATAAAATCATTCCCGGAGCCTCAACCCCCGCAAGGGTAAGGCCTAAGGTCAGATAATCCGATCAAGAAAAAATGTTCTAAGCCAAGAACTGCAATCGACATAAGTCCAGTCTAAAATCGAGAAAAGCCCCACTAAAGAATGAATAAAATAATATGTGCGAAAATAATCCAAGTGAGCCAGGTAGAGCCCAAAACTGGAAAAGCCCAAACCATGAAAGAAGGCATGTGTGCTAGCCCAAATCCACATCTAAAGCCCGACCTGAGGTGACCCAAACCATGAGCATCAGCGACCAGCCCAAGTGCATCGGTCCCATCCGTCAAGGTGAGCAGCCCATCCCCCAACGCCACGGCCCAACTAGAAGTCTCAACCCAACCAAATCCAAGTAGTCCAGCCGTGTAGAAATCCATGAAAGTCCAAAATCCAAGAAAATAACCAGTGAAGCAGTCTCAAGAAAGTCCAAAATCCACAATGATGAAGATGAAAAATGAAGAGAATCCAAGAGAGGAAATCTCAAGAGAAATGGAGAAGGAAGGAAGAGGTACCACTATAGGTCAGTGGCCAACCCTTAGCCCATTACCGCCGACAGATAGCGGGTGCTCTAACCTCACGCGCAAGCACTGACGCAGGCGGAAGAAACCTCGTCGGGCCCCACCCAACCTCCCAACGAGGGCACCGATTTGATGACGGTACCACGCATACGCACTTTCCGTGTGTGCCATGGGTGCTCAAATCCATAATCCGCAAGCACTGACGGGCATCCTTTACCGCGGACGCATACGTGCGCCTTTTGACCGCAGGCGCGGTCGTTAAGGCACTCAAATGAAGTGCAAGATGGAAAAACCCTTTACCGGACAGCCACCTCTGCCCGGGCTAGGATGCCAAATACCGCTGGCAACTACGGGCGCTAAAAACCTAGACGCAAGCGCCGACGTACCCCAGGAGCCGCAGGAGTCGACGGGGGCGAAAGAAACTCTGCGAAACTACGCCTGTCATCTCGCAAAGGCACCGTTCACCGTCGGTACAACACGTGGCCCCAAACCGCGGGAACCAACGGGCACCCTTTAACCGCGGGTACATATGTGCGCCTCTTAACCGCAGACGCGGTCGTTAAGGCACCCAAATCAGTGCAACTAGGGGTTACCCCCATCCTCATCTATGCGAAAGAAGGGCAGATCATCCATAGGAAGGAGAGATCGTACCCGAATGTCAAGATCCTGCAGATTAGTAAACTCCCGCATCCCCTCTGTACTATCCACGGCCCACAATGCTAACTCAGTCGTCGGGGCATTCGCCCGCACGTCACAATGAAACCACTGGACCGTTGCGATAGAACAGTGGAAACGCAGTCTAGCATAAACATCATGAAGGTACCACGGGGTACCTTCCCTAAAGAAACAAGATAGCTCTGAATGATGGGACTCCACGTGGATACGCAAGAAGGACTGGGATATACACCACTGAATACACCGAAGAAGCACGTCCATCCCTCCACGCTCCACTGGTTCCCACCTGAATGCAATAGAAGAAAGAGCATAAAGAAACTTACCTGTCGAGTCACGTACGATCGCTGCAAATGCCCCACGTAGCGGGGCCCTCGCCACATTCACCTTGATGGTGCCACCCGGCGGTGGGACCCACCGAATCGGCACCATCCTCTTGTGTCCAGAGCCTCGTCGAACGTGCTCCATGATCACCGACCATCGGGAAGGCAAGTGTTATGAGAAACTAAAAGAAAGTTATAAAATTAGTTCTCAGTACAGCGACCGGAACTCTTAAACACTTGTTTGTCATCATCAAAAAGGGGGAAATTGTTGGGAAAAATATTATAAATTTTGATGATGATGTATTTAGAATGTAATAGGGACTTTAGGTCTCCCCCAATATTCAATGTAATTTTTCTTTTTAGAAATATTGTTAAAACCGAGTTCTTGAGATTTCCAATAAAGTTGTGATATTTCCTTAAGCGTTTTGATGCCTGAAGACTTAATCAAATTCAGTGATATGGAAATTGGATATCTTGATCGGAAATGTCAGAGACAAGTAAGGATTTCTCAAGCAAATGAAAATCCTCTGATCCGGAAGACTACATAAGAACCGGATGTCTCGCTACAACCCGCTGAAGGCTAAGTCATCCAAAATCGGAAGACTAGCGCGGATCTCTTTCTCACCCGGAAGTCTGAGAATGACTCCTCCGGATTTGTCGGCTAAGAATCGGAAGACTCATTGAAGACCGGAATTCTCAGAAAGCGGACAAGTGAGAAAAGATTTAGAAAAATTATCTAAGTCTTGAATGAAGAAATTCTACCCGTTGGTAAGGAAAAACCAATCTCTTGATTTTCAACGGCTAAATTGAAGATAATTATGCTGATTCAAGAACAAATGACTCGAAGACAAAGTCTGGACCTCTAAAAATGAAGAGCCTGCCCAGAATTCCTAAACAAGCACTAGAAGACAAACAGAGTAAAGTGCTACAGTCTTGAATTCTTGAACAACAGCTAGAAGACGGATTCTGTGGAAAAAGGAATCCTTCCTCAACAATTGGGTACGTCCAAACACCCACTTCAACAAAGAATCTTCAAATCACAATCTTCATTCAAAATTGAAGCCAGAAAATGCAACGGATAGTCTATTATGATTCAACGGATAGATTATCCAATCCAGCTATAAATAGCACCCTTGGAAGACTAGAGAAAAAAAGACATACAACAACACAACGAAGCAATCTCTAACAACAAAGCTATCTCATTCACAGTTAGCCCAAAAAGCTTGATAAAGAGAGATTTCTAAACTCCTTATCCAGAAGCAAACTTCTCCTCCTTCCAAAGAGCTATAGTGTAAACACTTGAAGGTTTCCTTGCCTCAAGTACCACACCACGTTGAAGGATATAACTTTTGATCAAACTTATTGATTAAAAGGG